ACCGCGGGTGCCCGCGGGTACAGCGCGCACATCGTCTCCTTAAGTTGTATTCGCACAGGCTAGGGACTTTGGTCCTGGGGATAAATCCTCCTCTATTCTGTGGATGCATACCTTTTTCCGCCCCTTTGAGTGTGGGCGGCGTCATGAGCGGGGGGGAAACTACAGTATTAGTTCCATCTACTTCGAAGTAGTTGATGTGTGGGGCGCTGTAGGCCCTGGAATCGCCGTCCATCTGTTTCCACGTCGTCGGGCCCACTGCATGGGCGAAGAATCGGTCTCTGCCCAAGTTGCTCATGCGCGGCTGGTGCCCCTGTGCCACCCATCTCCACCGTTGGTGACACAAGATACCACACCCCCGTCAACAGATTTTCAAAGTGCGCGATTGCTCCGCAGCAGAAAGAAGGAAGGTGCAGCAAATGGCGGCGTTGGATCTATCTCGTGCAAATATTTCCGAAACCGCATACATACTTTGGGTTCTGCGCCCTCTCCTTCCTGGAGTAGTCAAGCTTTTGAAAATCGGCTCAGGGGGTATGTGGCATCTTGTGTCGCACGCGGTATTTCGGTTACACGAGGGGCTGGCATAAGATCCTGCCAGGGCATCAGGCTGATGTTCTGTCTGCTATTTGACTCCACGGCCTCTGAAAAGGCTCATTGTGCAGAAGAGGGAGAAACACTGTTGTTGTAAATAAACCTAGACAACTGCTGCCGTAGTCTGACTAAATATTGAACTTGTACCGCTTAACAATGATATGGTATTTGGAGGTAGACATGTGATCGTGGTCGACCATGATTAATTGGCGTCGTCAGATTCTAGGACGTCACGTCATGCTAGATTAGGGCTTAAGATGGCGAGGCATGTGCCCTTCTGTTCAGTGTTGTGTGCCGACGATCCGGTGATCGCGTGTGCTTGGGATTGTGAGTTGGCTTGGAAAGCGTAATCAAGACAAAGAGAACAACGGAAAGCAACAACTGTGGCGAAAAACACACTCTCCCCCCTACAAAAAAAATGCACTGTTCGCTCGGCAGGGGGGTGGGAACACGGAAGGAGAAACTGTGGAACGTTTCGCATTGGGCACGCTGTCCAGCTACCCCTTTCTTCTTACGTCTTGGGGGTAGGACACCATCAATCATGTTTCATGTTGGGACGTGTCTTCTTATGTTGTGGCCGAGATTGAGCTGTGCTTCTTAAACCTCTTTTCTTTTCGTAAAATTTGAGCTTGACTGTCTTCCCATACATAGCTCAAAGGTGATTGATTCCGAAGGACGGGGTTAAATGTCAAATCTAATATACTTAGTATACAACAGGGCGACACAGATGAAGGGACTGATTCTCAAAGCTAGACTACACACGGGAATAGTCTAGTGGCGATGCCGAAAAAGTACCGTCGGAACTGCCTCGTCGAGAGTTTTCCGAAAACATATCGTATGATTAATACTCCTCTTCGTCGTGGAGAAGTCGATCTTTGAAAACAGGGGCTGGTCATGTCTTGTGTAACGTGTTGTTGCTGTAACTGATTCATTCATGTTGCATCCTCCGATTCCGTGAACTACCAATTCCCGCCTTTGCACTTCCAGCCCTAGAGCCCCCACGACCTGCGATTCCTTGGCAGGGGTACACAAGGTCCTACCTAGCTTGCCATCCTACCAGCAGCAGCAGCTTGACACATATTGAGCAAAGGGTTGAGCACGATGACAGATGAGCATGTGGGCAATCATCACACGGGCACCGACGCCGGTGCGCTGATGCTATGGTCCATGACTTAGAATATATACCCTTTTTTTTTAAGGTCATGGACCATAGCGCTGATGCCTCCGACGGTTGCAGTCTGTGAAGCCCCCTATTACGGTGGCACATAGTTAATAGGAGCAATTTAAAAGATATGCGTTTCGGAGTGTAACTTTCGCAATACGATGCGCAGCACAACAGACGATAGCGCGAATTGACGACAGGGAAACGGCGGTCACGATGAAAAAAAGACATGAAAAAAAAATCAAATTTCTTGAATTATGGCTTGTCGTGTACCTGAGCAGAGATTCAAAATCGGAAAAAATGCCCAGCAACATGCGGCCAACATTGGTATCCCCACTTCTCGGCTTGCAACTCAACATTTTTAAGCGCCTGTCGGCATACAGTAGCGCAAAACGCTTCCATGACGAAGGCGGTCAATACGCAAGAAGATAGAACATGAATGCAGTTGATGTGTGACAAGCTGCATCCGGGGTAAGACTTGTCGACAATTGAATATATATATATTTTTTTTTTTCAACAACTGCAGCAGCTGGAAGCAGGGACGCAACCCCCCGCGCACAGCAATCACACATGTGTGCTGTTGGAACATGGTACACCCAGTGCATGGGTGTAGCAATTGATCACAAGGCTGAAAAAAATCTCATCATGGTTCAACCTCGTCGCTGCCATCACCCCATTCTGCGCTTTCCTGCTGGATCTGCTCCCCTACCCCTTCCTCGACATCACCCACGGGCGACACATCATCTGTATCGTACCCGTCCGGCTTTTCGAGGCTGCCTATCGTACCAGAAAGCACTCCATCACGGTCCTTGACCCACTTATTCATCTCTCCAATGGCGTGGTCAACCAGCTTCGAACAATCGGCTGCCTTCCACCCCCCCTC